CCAAACAAGATGAGCCCAGAGGCCTACACCAAAACACATCATAATTAAAATGCCAAAGGTTAAAAACAAAGAGAGAATCTTAAAAGCAGCAAGAGAAAAGCAGTTGGTGGGGGCCAACCAAGTGGCTCAGTTGGTTAAGGGCTCGTTCAAGAGTGCAAGCTCTGAGCAACAGGGTCGCCAGTTCAATTCCAGGCCCGAGCTGAGCTGCTGCTGAACTGCCAACAGGTGGCAGGATGGCTCAGCTGAAAAAAACAGAAAAGCAGTTGGTTACCTACAAGAAAGCTCCCATTAGACTGTCACCTGATTTCTCAATAGAAACTTTGCAGACCAGAGGGATTAGCACAAAATATTCAAAGTGATGAATAGCAAGGACCTACAACCAAGATTGCTCTACCCAGCAAAGCTATCATTTAGAATCAAAGGACAAATAAAGAGTGTTCCAGACAAGAAAAAGCTGTGGAATTCATCACCACCAAATCTGTATTACAAGAAATTTTAAAGGAACTTCTTTGAGAAGAAGAAAAATAAATAAATAAATAAATATAAGAAAATATCGAAACAAACAAAAATTCTCACTGACAAAGGCAAACACATAATAAGAGCAATGGATCAACAAACACAAAAGCGAGTACAAAGGTTAAAAGGCAAAAGTAGGAAGGTCATGTGTAATTACAACAGTAAATTAAAGGATACACACACACACAAGAAGTAAAAAATAATTATAAAAGCATAAATGTGGAGGGGATGAGTACAAATGGCAGTGATTCTAGAAAGTGTTCAAACCTAGGGACCATCAACATAAAATAGACTGCTACAAACAAACTTGGCATATAAGAAGCACATGGTAACCACAAAACAAAATCTACCAGAGCTACACAAAAATAAAGAGAAAGGAACCCAAACACAACACCACAGAAAGTCATCAACATACAAGACAGCAAGAGAATAAGAAAGGGGCCAGCCGAGTGGCTCAGTTGGTTAAGAGCTCGCTCAAGAGTGTGAGCTCTGAGCAACAGTGGTTCGAGTCCCAGCCCGAGCAGAGCAGCCGCTGAGCTGCCAACAGGAGGCAGGATGGCTCAGCTTAAAAAAAAAAAAAAGAATAAGAAAGGAACAGAGAACTACAAAAACAATTGGAAAACAATAAAGTGGCAATAACTACACACCTGTCAATAATTACTTTAAATATAAATGGATAACATGCTCCAATCGAAAGATGAATGAATAAAGATGTGGTACATACATACAATGGAATATTACTGGGCCATAAAAAAGAATGAAATTTTGCCATTTGTGACATGGATGGACCTAGAAGGTATTTTGCTAAGTGAAATAAGTCAGACAGAGGAAGACAAATACTATATGGTTTCACTTATATGTGGAATCTAAAAAACAAAATAAACAAACAAAACAGAAACAAAGTCATGCAGAGAACAAACTGATAGTTGCCAGATGGGAGGGGGGCTGGGGAACTAGGTGAAATAGGTGAAAGGATTACATACAAATTGGCGGTTATGACATAGTCATGGGGATGTAAAGTACAGCTTAGGGAATATAGTCAATAATATTGTAATAATCATACATGGTGTCAGGTGGGTACTAGGACTTATCATGGGGCTCACTTTGTAAATTATGTAAATATCTAACCACTATGCTGTACACTTGAAACTAATATAATACTGAATGTCAACTGTAACTGAAAAAGTTAAAAGCTATGTATATACTGGGAGTGCCAAAAAAATGTACACACATGACTTGTATTCATCTTTTGTTTAGTATATATTTAGTATTAAATTTTTAATACAGTTTTTCCTTTCTTAAAATGTGTATACTTTTTCTGTCAATATACGAATATTGTGTGTGTGTGTGTGTGTGTGTGTGTGTGTGTGTGTGTGTGTGTACCTTTCCTTGATTTTTCCCTCTTCCCCTTCCTCATGTAGCTCATCGGTCACTAAATTCTGTTTGCCCAATTCCTAAATCTCTCTTCAGTTTGTCTGCTTCTCCCCAGACTCCTGCTATCTCCCTAACTCAGGCCACCGGCATGTATATCTGCAGTACGCCAGACATGTCCTGTCTGGAGTCCCATTTTCCATATCTGTACAAAGGAGATCTGATCACGTCACTCCCCTAGGTAAACCCAGGACTTGTGAACTCTAACTTGCTGGCCTTTCCAGTCTTATCTCTCATTCATCTCCTCACATTCCTGGGACATCCTGAATTACTTTCTGTCCCTTAGAAATGCCCTGCTTTCTTTCACTTTGAGGCCTTTCCACTTGTCCTTCCATTTCTTCCCTAATTCCTAGCTTTGCTAACTTCGAAGCTGAGACCTGAATGGGTGGTGTTATGGTTACCAAAACCTCCCAAGTTTGGATTGTGTGCCTTCTTTCCCCCTTCCTGCATGTTCTCATAGCACCCTATACTTGCCTGTCTGGCTTCCCCACTAGACTGCGAGCTCCATGGAAACAGGAGCACATCTATTTCATTTGTATATTAGCAATGCCTAGCATTGTGCCTGATACTTAATAGGCTTTCAAGATGCATTTTGAATGAACGAATAAGTGGTTGAGTAAATATAAATCTATCAGCACTACCAGAAGAAAAAGCTCAAGTGAATTCATTAGTCTGTTGTGAATTACTGGAAGCTATGTCAAAGCCTTACTTGAACTGCTAAAATGTCATATTGCATTTTGCCCCCACCCCAACACACACCCAGGTCAGAGGAATTCTCAGCAGTCTATATTCGTATCTATAGTATGCCTCGTTCCCTCAGTTACCTTTTAGGAATTTAACTCCCAACATCACTTAGCACCTTAGGTTTTTAAGTCTTTGAGGGGAAACCAATAGTAAGTTCACAAAACTTAAGCAGTCAGTAGCACTGTTGCTTAGCCTCAGATTCCTCACTTGTAAACAGAATTGTTGAAATCAGTGTAAAAGTGCTTTTTAAACAGCAATGCATTATATAAATGTATGGAGCCTTATTCAGAGAAAACTTGAAATAAGCTTTTCTAATAAATAACAATGAATGCTGAATATAGATGACTGTTTTACTGGTGATTTTGCCAGTTTGGTCTAGTTGCTTCCTTCTGTTCTATTCCAACAGACATCAGCTAAAGATGTCTTCACAGGTGGGTGGTTAAAATTGGGGTAATTGAATTATTAAAATAGGGTTAAAAGAACAAGTCATATTTTGAAGTCATGGCAGTAATTATAACTTCTAAAAACCAGAATAGTTGCTATAATTGACTATTAAATTTAGCTCCAAGCTTCCTGGGAGTCAAGGTAAGGCCTGAGTATGAATTAGCTCTCAGGCTACAGATACATATTTGTCAGGAGAAATGAAACATTTTTCTAGCCCTGAACTCAAAATAGTAAAGCATGGATCTATTAGAGATATTGAACAATGATAATGAAACAGTTTTATAAAATATGCAGGAAAAATGTGTAGTTGGCCATTCCTTATATAAAAATCTTAACTTATGCCAAGGACACGAGTGCATTATGCTTCTGTGAAGGCATGTCTATGTGGAGCTGATATAATGGAATTGAATTTGATAACTTTGATTCAGGATAGAACCAAAAGAGTATATCTAGTGGTGATTTCTCTCTACTACTTTGAACTGTTGTCTCAACCTGAGTTATGGGTGCTGGATAAGACATTTCAAAATGAAGCAGTATTCTGTGGAGTAAATGGAAAATATGTTTATTTTAAATGGGCAAAAGTGATATTTTACCGTAAGAATTAAATACCTGTAGTTGCATCATTTAAAGGCCTATTTTCAGAGGCGACTCACAAAACATCTACAATTAGGTCCCAACTTTTGTCTACTGGTATTTGTCTTTTCAATGTTATTTTCCAAGAGCTTTAGTTATGATAGACATTAAGGAATGAGTAGGAATGGCTAATGCGCAGATAGCACTTCACTGTACAGGCACAATCTTCAAAATTAACCCAGGAGGTATTATTATTATTCCCATTAAACATGAAGAAAAATCTTAGATGTGAATGATCAGTGAAATTAACCTTTTGGTTTTCATTTTTAAATTTCTCAGAAATTGTGAAATTAGTATAAAATAGCAAATGTTGGTAAGTTCCACTTTTTTAAATCATTTCATTCATTTAAGAGGTATTTAGTGAGTGGAAACAACAAAGAACAAAACAAAGCCCGTGCCCTCCGAAAGTTATTTTTAATGGGGGAGACAAATGAGCAAGTAAAAAAAGAGCAGGAAGATGTTACCATCACCATACGGTGATCAGAAAATGCCTTCGAAAACAACTTTTTTTAAGACTTGGGGTGGGGGGTGGGGGAGTGGGGAGAGGAGTTGTTGGGGATGCAAAACCAGCCAGCCAAAACAACCCTGAGGACAGCTTTTACTGTCTGTGAGTTATCGTTTGGGTCACCGCTATCCCAGCTTAGGTTTTATACCAATAGAAGTTCCCGCAACTATGCAAATAAAAAAAAGCACCTTGCTTTAGAAAAGACTTATTTAGCGATGGAATCCTGTCTCGGTCCTGCCCTGTTTCTCTTTAGTTGATGTGGCATCCCCCCGTTCCGGCTCCTTTCGGGACCGGGGATCTCTCCTCCTCTTAGCCACATCGCAACCAGCTCGGTGGCCTGATCAATGTGCAGCTGTGGTGAGGAGAAGGTGTGGGGGGGTGATACGACTCCCGCCTTAAAGTCGCCAGCTAACGCCGCCTCGGGATCCGGAACTGCAGCTCCGCCTGGCGCGGCCCCAGACGCAGGGTGGGATCCAAGGCTCGGCGGTGAGGCCCGCGCTCCGCCTCCAGCCTGTACGCCCCGCCCCCCGCCGCGCCCGCTCCGCCCCGCCCTCTCCGCG